CATGTCCTTGAATAGGATAAGCAGTTTCAGAAAATGGATGGCATTGTGTCATTTGCTTCTTCAATCCTTCGAAAAGGTGATAACACCATATTTATTGTTACTAATCCTGAATGGAGACAGGCATAGTTTAAGCATTATGATTGTACGGATACTTGTGTAAAAAAACGGCCTACATAAATAAAAAATGCAAATAAATCTGGGTCTATACAGTGTATTACCTAGGAATTTGCTTGTCTGAAGATGGCAGATATAACCAGCTCCATTCACAATATGCGATTAAGATTTTCTGTTGTGTTGCTGCCTGTCCTTTCATTAACTACCAGTGAGTGCTCTATGATGATGACAGCCTAGCGTGACCGCACGGATCGTCACGTGGCATGTACATGCATGCTGTGATGCAACAGTGCTACTCGCTGAGCTACCCAAATAAAAAAGCTTAACGATATTACTTGTGAAGATTCAATAAGTCAAAGTGACATACATTGATTTTAATCTTGAAGGGATGTTTGACAATCAATTAGCGCTTTAATAAAAAAGTAGCACTTTACAGTGAATACAAAATACATGGGCGTAAATTATGGGGGGGGTGGGGGGATTGTATCCCTCCCAATAAATCAAAACCAGCTAATACAACCCCCCCCCCCCCCCCCAATGTTCCAGCCAAAGTTATGCCCTTGACAAAATATCATTCATCATCTGATAATAGCCTTTTTCTGTCCTATCAGTATACAGGTTTCTGGTAAGAAATAGTGCCATAAGACTATTTTTTTTAACAGGCAATGGTAACAGCAGGTAAAATGGTTAAAGTTTAGTTTCGAAAACATCAATTTGCAGCTTCTTGTATGTTTGCACCGTTTTCTTCTTCTGTTGGGCCACGATGCCGGTTCGCAGTGGAATAGTCCATTACTGCCGGGATGGGGGGAAACTTTATCCATCCGGAAACTCTTGCTAACATGCAAATAACGGCCATGTTGCTATCATTAAATGATCATTTTATGTTATATCCTTAATGTAACTTACCTTAAGGCAGTGGTTCCCAAAATTTCTCTGCAGGGCCCCCCTTTTATAGATAGGAACATTATTGAGCCCCCCCATTCAAATTACACAGGTTCAGATTCAAACTTTATTTGAAATACAACTCCTTTTTCTAATTGAGCGAAACAAATGCAATTACACCACTGTGGGAGATAATAGAGCAATCAATTAAAAATAAAAGTTCATCATAAGTTTGAAATTATGCTAATGCAGATTTAACATTCCTGTTAATATTCATTGGCGTACACAAATTAAAGTTTGTCTTACGATTACCGCATTTTGTTTTTAATGATAACCGCAGGTTTCAGCCTATACTATAGCACAAAACAACACTAAATCATATCCATTAATTGATAGTCTCCCTGCACTTCATGTAGAAAATTTTAAACCTCGTTTTTCATGATATGGTTAGATTTTTTTGTCCGGCGCTGCAAAACGTCGTTACGCGTCACCATGTCACATGGTACAAAAACCTTGCAAGAGCAAGACGACTTAAGACAGATCGTACAGCACCTCTCAGCTGGTGTTCTGTCGAGTTGAGGTACTTTGTCGAGTTAGGCTACCGTGGTGCTAATCGATAGCCCTAACTCTTACCCTAACCCTAATCCTAAACCCCCAAAACCACTAAAACCCTTACCCTAACCCCAACCCAAACCCCTAAAACCTAACCCTAACCCCCAAACGGTGGAACTGCACATGCGCAAAAAGGTTCGATAGTATATTAAATGCATGCAAAAAATGCATTTAATGTAAGAGACAACAATAATTCTATCTGCTCAATTTTTCCTCCACTACTGCTCTTTGTCAAGCGAAAAGTAAGTACTCATAGCGAACGCAATGCAGCAGAGGGAACAGTCCACATTTTCAGCAGATAAGGATGCAGTGGGGACAAAATCAAATTTTATTTATATTCATCAGAAAAATAATATGTTTAATTTCGTCATTGTCATTAAACGCATATTTTAATCATGTTTTTGTTTTAATTATCATCACACAAAAAAACCTTCATCAACATTTCTGTTAACGAAATTAAACTTAAGGGGAAAACTTAAGATGTTTTGTGCAACCGGCCCCTGAAATTTGGTGAATTTAATTTCCATGCCCTTGAAAAGTGTCATGTGGTGCAACAGTGATTTATCTTAAAAATAATTTATTTCCTTAGTTTCCTTCAATGATATGATTGGTGATATTATGATCTGCCAACCTATTTTTTTCTCAAAAACCCATAAAATTTATGAAAAAGGTATAACAATGCTATCCATATATTAGTGATATTTCACCCATAGAAATTTAAAAAGTTAATTTGGATTAACTTCAGTTCCTTCCATTTTCCGTTACACCACATGACCATATGTTCATACCAAATGATGAGAAATTCAGTAATTAGACAAAAAAAAAACTCACAAAAATCACAAAACACATTCTATGCAAAAAACGTGACATTTTTATTATTTCATGAAATTCTGAATATCAGTAAGATCCAAGTAAATTTACACACAAAAACATTTTATAGACAGTTCAGACATATTTTTTAAAAAGTATTTCATGATAACTGCAACACACCTCAAAAAACTTAATAGTGAAGGGTAATGCACCTCATACAAAGAAGACTGGTGAAGAATTCAAGGACTAATTCCAGTCATCTCTGAACTTCCCCAGTCTGGACTGGTCAGGTTAAAAACACTGACTGTTTTTCTCTTCCAGTAACTCCAGGAAGCAGCCCATAATTTCTCTCTTTCCTTCTCTTTCTCCCAGAGCTCACTTAGCTTGAAGTATTTAATCTGTCCCTTCTGTTTTCCTATCTTGGGTTTACTTGCTTAGCTGGATAGCTTATCATATTTAAGGTAACCCATATTAAATGGACTCTTCGTCCACTTACATTTAACCCAGACTACCTTAAATCCGACAAGGTAACCAGCTATGCAAGAAAACCCGTTTCATGATACAGGACCCCGGTATCTAAAAAATTGCTGTTATGGCTTCAGTCTGTGTAAGTGAACGTTGGATATGTTACAGAAACAAACTAATAAAATGCCTCTAACAGATAATTACAATTATACCACAACAATGTTCTTGAAGTTATGTTTCTTCTCACTATTTCTTTACCTTTC